CAATATTACAGATAAACATTAATTAGGAAGTTTTGTATTCTGTATTCTGCACATGAACTGTGGTCTGTTGAAATCCAGATGAAAGCCATGTGTTGAATTGCTGTGACTGCATTCTTTTACACGTGTGTCTGATTTGACATGATATTTTTAAATGTAAGGATGGGTAAAAGTCATTAGCATTCATCAAAATTGTCTCCATTTTAAAGATATTCTTTGCAAGCATGTACATTTACATAAAAAATTGGATATGTAACATTTTTGTGAACCCACAATACCGACAATAGCTTACAAAAGTTCACTGAAGCAGAGAGTTATTCTCGTAACTCATTATGTGTAACACAGTTCTCTACTTGCTAATAAAAATGAATGAATGAAATGCAGGGAATGCTAAAAATGACACATTTTGTGTCATGACACAATGACACAAAATACATAATATTACCATTGTGCAGATTCAGTAGAACATGTAAACGTGTAGATTTGCAAATGTTCATATGTGTATAATGTTGCATGTTTGTGTGTGTTTCAGTTTGCTGTAATATTGTCTTTAAGCCAATTCGCTAGCTGCTTGTTTTAGCTATTTAGTTATGTTGCCACCGAGCTCTTGTTGCTGCAAATCACAAAGAAACAGTAACAAATTCCACAGATGTTACCAGCCTTTGACCCATATCATATATTGGATACTCAACTTCTGTATGTAAGCATCGATGCAACTTAGAAGAAAAAAGCACCAAATGTGTTATGTTTACGTTAAATTCTCACATCATCCTCCGTGAGAGACCAAACGTTAAAGTTTCAGAGATATATTTTGCAAACAGAAAAACCAAAGGGACCTAAAACTGAACCTTGAGGAACTCCACAATATTATTTGGATGCAGAATGGTGACAACAATATTTGAAATTTGTATTTGAATTTCATTTAAAAGTGCTACATGACTGGGATTAGATTTTCTTGTTACAGTATCCTCCATGAAGGACCAAAGATAGGTTTCAGTACCTTGATGCTGACGTCGATCACACTGACGTCCATTTCCTCTCTGTCTAAAGCAGTCGTCACAGACACAACCCCACTGCTGGAGTCGATGTTGAAGTTACTCCGATATTTGCCTGGAGACACTAAACAAACAATCACAATGTTAAATATTTGGTGCTTCAGTCTCAAAAAAGTCTGAGCAGTTATTTTGTTCTTGTCGTTTACCTGCACTGATGCTGTAAGTTAAAGGAATCATTATCCCTTTGTCTCCGTCCTCAGCTTTTATCGCCGCCGGCTCAATGGTCCGGAAATGCCCAACCTGAAATATGAAATATTTAATATGAAAGGGGTTTAATAAAAAATAATCAGCAAATCATATTTAAAAGCAACATTCAGCAGTGACATTTTAGAAAACAATACAAATATAATTATTTAATGAGCGGAGATGTTAAATGTACACATTAATCTACCAACATTATCTTAGAAATACAGCAACAATCTCATCACCATTGACTGTATATTATTTTAGCATTTATTGTTGGCTGGCATTGCAAAGAGAGAGAATTTTTTTTTTTTCAAATCATTTTGGCTGTGATCTACATTGTGGTTAGGATGTGTTTCAATTATATTATACTATATATTTTATATTCATTTTTTAAAATTACTTTTCAATGTTCAGCTCTAAAAGGTTCAACTTCAGCTCCCATAACAGGTCAATAATCAAGTGCATAAGGTATGTTGTTTTGCATTATATTGTATCGGTTAAAGGGGACACACTATGCTCATTTTCAAGTCCATATTGGTATTTTGTGACAGGGGTGTCAAACTCAAGGCCCGGGGGCCAAATCCGGCCTGTGACTTCATTTTCTGTGGCCTCACAAGTGCTTGCAATAATACAATAGATTTATTATACGGTTATGTGCCGCTTTACAGAAGCACGTTGCCCATAAACTACATGTCGCACAATGCATCTCAGATATGCCTTTTTTCTCAGAATTTGGGTGTTTTTTCTTCAAAATATGCCTTTTTCTCAGAATTTGGGTGTTTTTTCTTCAAAATATGCCTTTTTCTTAGAATGTGCCTTTTTCTCAGAATTGTTCTTTTTTTTTCAAAGTGTCACTTTTTTTGACTTTTTTTCTTTTTATAATTTGGCTTTTCTTTTAAAATCATTTTGTGACATTCTCACGGACGAGACTTGCAATTATTTGCCCTTAACTTCTTCTTTCAGATGTAGTTAATTATGAAGTTATTACCCTATCAGATAATAATCCAATGCAGAGGCAATAATGTAATATAATACATTATTTTATATATATTAAATATTTATATATGTATTTTTATATAGTCTTAAAGTTACAACCGGCCCTTTGAGTGCAACCATAATGCTGATGTAGCCCGTGATGAAATTGAGTTTCAATTGAGAAATTGAGACACCCCTGCTCTACTGTGACAAACTGCCTCTGGAGGGAACTCTTGGATTTTAACCTTTGCAGGCAATTTACATGCACAAAAACCTATACACACAACAACTAGAGGAAAGGGGAAGCCCAAAAAGCACAAAAGGACCTCTTTAACAGACTCACCTGATTCTCTTGAATGAAGGCCTGGTACACGTTGTAGCTGAAGGAGGGATTCAAGTTATCAAAGTCCACTACGTTAATCGTCACAGTGGCCGTGTCATTTAGACCCCACTTATCCTGCAGAAAACACAGAACAGTCAGCTACTCATGTCCCCTTGGATTTTTAAATAATTATGTTTAAAGTTGCAAATATGTTCACTTACCCGGGCCGTCACAAGGAAGTTGTATTTCTGGACTAAATTGTAGTTTAAACGTCTCTTCAAAATAAAAGCCCCTGAGCTCAACAAACTAAAGTCTTCTGAGGTTGGTGCCTTATAAAAAGAAAACAACATTCACAGATTTTTGTTACACATCATGACACGTGATTTTGAGAATTAAACATTCAAGACAATAAAATAAGCATCATAATGTTGGCGGTCTGGTCACTTTTTGTCGTAAGAATCCATCACTGTTTGTGAGTTAAATGAAAGGCAGTCACAGTTTGACAAAATGACCAAATACATGTTTTTAACCATTAGGAGTTCATGTTAGAATCGTACAAACCAAATATTTAAAAAACATCTTCATACATCTGCTCTCAGTGCATCAAAAATAATTCAAAACTGCGAATATCTGATTGTGATTAAAACAATTCTTAAGCTACTCTACTCTTGTTACATAAATAAAATAAATAAAATATGAGTTTATCATTATAATGATTATATTATTATTACATAGGAGTATGTCACTAAGTTGTTTGCTGTAGTGCTGTCTCCATCTTTAGCCGTAACTTGGACAACCACGCTGTCCACGTCTTTAATCTAAAAAAGAGAAAAGACTGAAATGAGGCACAGATAAAATAAACAAACATCATCATCAAGCATCAGAATCAGAGTCAGATACGGGGAAATGTACGACATTATAACAGCAAAGGTAATGCAGATTAAAGTAAAAAGAATAGACTTACATATTATATAAAAAACTAGGCACACATTAATAAGAAGAACACAATACAAGAATAACAAATAACAGATAAGAACACCATGGTAAAACTAAGTAGCAGGATTTCTTTCTAAAAAAGTGACCATATGAAAAATATTGAAGTAGCTGGTAATGTTTAAAATTGTAAATAAATTCAAAGCAAGAAATATGAAACGTAAATTGCACGTGAGTTCATATTGCACATGAGCGGTGGTATAGAGTGGTGCAGGGATGACGTATTTACCCGGAAGTAATCTGTGCATGGGTTCCCTCGTCTCAGAGCCAACGGGATTTCTCCATAGGATTTTTGAAAATAGCTCGAAATAAGGTCTGTGGTTGAAACACATTTAGGAGACGGATCACGTTTTGTTCAGCCGGATAATATCCACATGTCTACCCTACTTTTATAATTTTCTAATCGTAAATCTAATCGCCAGAAGCAAAATGGTAACGTTATGCTATAAACGAACGACAGCAGGGTCGCTGCTTCAACGTGACGCCAACTTAAGATCGATATTCAAAAATACAGATTCTAAATGGTACAAGTTGAAGCTTTTGTTTTAACAGTCTGCAGGAGGCAGGTACTTGCTTTCAAGCAGAACAGGGGGAAAAACAAACTTAGAGGAGTGTTTACGTGTTCGTAAACTCTTCAGAAATCACCAGTGGGGTCACTGCTGATGGATTTAATGTCGTAGAACAAAACGTTACCCGTCTCTTAAATGTGTCTCAACCACAGACCTTATTTCAGATATTTTCC